AGCACAGCACAGCCGCCATCTGTGCCCTCCACGCGTGGTGAGAAGTGGGAGGGAAACCACGGCATGGGGGTCAAGCAGCACACTGGGGACTTGCCGGCCACCTGTCCACAGCCATGGCCAAGGACACACCTTCCTGAGCTCAGACCTTGCCTGGGCGTGGAGGTGCGTCGTGGCAGAAAAGCTATGGAAACAGAAGTAGCTGTGGGAAGGCAGTGAGGCTGTTGCAGGGAGGCCTGGCTCAGATCGGCTGGGTGGCTGTGCTGCACACAAGCCTGGACAGCGGTGGGTACCTGGTGAGATGGCAGCCAAGGCATGCGTTCCTTGTCTAGCTGCTGCCAGGCCACGCACGTTCCCCCGCTGGGGTGAATGACCAGGAGGGGGTGAGGTCAGGCACAGATTGCCAGAGGTCACCAGAGTTCGGTCCTCCTGGAGCTTGAGGCCAGTGCTCCTGGTGCAGTGGGGACCCTGCCCGGCCCTCCCCAGCATCTTGGCATCCCCGCCCTCTTGGAGCCTCCTGTCCCCTGAGCCTGCTGGAGCCCAGCCCTGTGCTGAGGATCGGAGAAGAGTTTGTGATGCAGGCTGAGAATGCATCTCAGTGGGGACAGTGGGGACACACTTGTTTTCTGGAGCCTCCTGGGTAGAAGGGAAGGGAGATGGCAGCTATGGTAATTGGGAAGATTTTCATAAAATAGCTCCGTTGTTTCAAAAAGGCCAGATGTCCAAAGCAAGTCCCATGAAAGATGAAATTGAAAATTCCAGGGCTGGGGGCTTGGCTCAAGAGGTGCAGATCCCTGAGTTCGAACCCCAGTACAGCCAAAAAGAAATAAAAGTCCACGCTGTGAAGATGGGCAGTGCTGCATTTGAAAGACATGGTGACAGGACGACATCTGCACAGCATACCTGCAGGGCCACACCTGCACCCACGGCCACCTGCTCGCTGCGCAAGAACCCACAAAGACCCGATCCTAACAGAGTGGCCCAGTTCACGAGTGTCGAGGATTTAGTCAACTTCAGCAAAGAAGACAGGAGAGGCAAAAGGTAATAACGTGGAAACGCGGGGAAACACAGATGACCGCGCAGGAAGCCGTCAGAAGCACCTCCCAGGCTGTCCAAGAAACCCACACAGTCCATCTGAGTGGCGGCCTAGCGCTTGCTAGACCCGGGGTCCATCCCCAGCTCCGTAATAAATAAAAAGTAGGAAAATGGAACCCAAATGGCAAAACGGACACTATGAAATGCTGACGTGGGGGGAGGCACCTGGAATTCACCATGGCTGGTGGGGTGCAGAACACGCCGCCAACTTGGACACAGATATGCGTCCTCGTATCTGTGGAGGCGAGCATACGCCTCTACGGGACAAGAAGATGCAGGTCCTCACCGACCCCTCGGGTGAGAGCAGTCCTACTCAGGAATTCCCCCACCTGGTGTCTGGTCACCTGTGGACCATGGATGAACGAGAGGCTGGGACGGACCCGCGGCAGTACGGGGAGTGACCTGGGCGACGAGGACAGGCACGGTGCCATGTGGCCCACTGAGTTAATGGGACAGTGTGGAGACGGGCTTTGCGGGTGGGACTAGGGATCTAGCCGTGTGAGGTCTGTGCACAGTTATTTGGGTGGCCCCGGAGTTGTATGCAGTGCCCCTGTGAGAGTTGGGGAGATCTGACACAGACCAGGGAGGGAGCAGCTGTGTGATGGCAAGCCCAGGGCCACCTGGAGCCTCTGGGAGGAAGGGGCCCTGCCCACACCACAGTCTGCCCAGCGACACAGTTTTCAGGCTGCTGACCCGCAGAACTGGAGAGGATATGTACACATTTCCATCCCTCAGTTTGTAGGCGTTTGTTACAGTGGCTGCCGGACTCCGTGCTCGCATTTAGTAACATCTGGGTGACGTCCAGAGCAGACCCAAGGAGGGAAAGTGGACTTGACTGTGGCACGGGGACCACGCCTGTGATCCAGCACTTGGGGGGCACAGGAGGGAGGAGCAGGGGTTGCAGGCAGCCTGGGCTGCAGAGCCAGACCCCATCTCAGGAGGGGGTGGTCTGCAGGGGGGTGGCCAAGTACATTTGCAGACCCCAAGGCAAGTAGTGTCATGGCCAGGCGTGGTGCCCTGGCGGTCTGCACCTGCTCTGATCCTGGGGATTCTAGGAGAGCTCCCATAGGCTTTCTGTGCCCCCGCTGGGTTTGCAGACACCCCGGGGAGCCCCTCTGCTGGGGGGCTTCCTGCTCCGTGCACACGGTGTGCCCTCGGGGCTCCGGCTCTGCTCGACCTGCTCGGGTGACTGGCCTCAGTGAGCCCTGGAGCTGACTCGGGCCTCGGCACCCGCCGTCCCGGGCGCGTGGTTCACGGTGGGAAGCGATGCCTGCCTTACTGGACGTGGGGGCGGGGCCGGGAGGAGGAGGCGGCGGGCGGGGCGCTGCGGATTGCGCGTGCGCAGACGCTGCCTCCCCGCCCCGCCCCGCCCCGCCCCGCCCCGCCCGTCCCTCGGTCCTTTTGGGGGGGCAGCGGGTGGGGCTGCTGGGCAGAGGTGGCTGCCCGAGAGTGCAGCACCAGTCCCAGCTGTGTTCCGTCTCCCCCTGGACCTTTCCAGCAAACAGACTTGGCGCTGGCCAGAGACAGTGGCAGAACTTTTCCCAGGTCCCACCAGCGCGGCGGCCATGCGGACCCCTCCCTGCACCTTCACCCAGCTGGGCCGTGGGGGCTCCACAGCCCCTGACGTGGGGGCCTGGCTCTTGCGACCCTCCTGCCTGAGTGTCCGGGCGCTGGGCTATGCTCCAGTCCCTCCCTTGTCCTGGTGTCTGTCTGGGTTCATTGTGGCAAGGTCAGCACAGGGCCCTCGGCCATGTCGCAGCAGGGGTGGGCAGGGCGTCTCGGGCTCTGCGTGATGAGCAGCGGTGGGTGGTGAGGGGCTCGGCCGTGCACGGTGTAAACGCCGGGGGATGGAGATGGATTTCACAAGCGCTTCCTGTTGCCTCACCCCCAGCCGCTCTTCCCTGTGGGGTCAGCACGGGGGTCACGGTAGCGGAAGAGGCCTGGGGTCCGCATCTCTGGGCCTGCCTCCTCCGCCCCACACTCCGACGTCCCTCCCTGTGCCTCCCTCTTCCCTGCACGTCACCTTCTGGGAGCCACGGATCTGCACAGTGGAGCTGCCTGAGGGAGGGACTCTGCTGTGGGCCGCACGGCCGCACTGAGGAGATCGTCCTCTGGGAGGGGCTGGTGGCCTCCCACTGCCCACCTGGCTTCCTGACACAGCTCTGGGGGCCCCAGCGCTGTCCCTTGTGCCTCCTCCTGGAGCTGGGGGTGCTTAGTTCTGTGGTCAGGAGATGGTGACCCTTCGCTCACCCGGGTGCCGGGGTCCTCAGGCATGGACACAGGTGGTGGGGAAGCTGGTGTCCCCAGTGTGCCCGTCACCTTGCATGGGGACCAGGGCCGAGCCCACAGGCTTGAGGCTACTGTTGGTCCTGTGTGGAGGGACCTGCATGCCACAGACACCACCTCCTGGACCCCAGGGACCCGCTGCCCACACTGCACTGCCAGCATTCTGCAGGCCTGGGCTGCCACTTGCAGGGACTGGGCTTTCCCCTTGGTGACACGGTCAGACCCAGCCACACTGTGCTTAGGTTTGCCCAGGCCTGTGCCCCTCGGTGCCGTCCTCCTAACGAGCTTCCGGAGCCTTCCTCGTACCGCACCGCTTCCTGTCTGTTACACGTGCTGTTTCCTGTGGCCACGGCCCTCGTGTCACACGGCAGGGTCCTGCCTGCAAGCCTGACATGGAGGCGCATCAGTCCTAGTGTCTGTCCGTGTCAGCGTGGCACAGGTGGCGTGCAGTGTCGTCTGGCATGTGTGTGACAGGGATCCCGGTGAACGGCTGCGCTGACAAGAGAGACAGCACACAAACCCGTGTGGCTGGGAGCCCAGACCCATGGTGACAGCTTGGTCATGTGGGGGCAGCCACTTGAGGTCACGGGAAAGGCCAGGCCCTCAGTCTGCAGCCCTTTCTGTGAGCCTCATCCTGCGTGTGACCCGTCTGACGTGGGCTTCATGAGGGCGTGGGAGTGTCCCTGACGGTGGTCCTCGTGGGAAGGGGGTGGACTGCAGCGTTGGGGAGTTGTCATTCTGTCTCCTGACCGCGTGGACTTGAGGTCCGTCCTGCGGGTCGGCCCGTCCTGGCTGATGGCCTGTGTGCTGGCGGCACTTTGTGTCTCGGCTGAGTGCCCAGTGGGCCGAGAGCTTTTGCAGAGACCTGTGGTCCATGTCTCCCAGTGAGGCCCGGTTGGGCTCACGGTGCCACTGGCACACAGAAGACCTGGTCCCCCCTGCACTGCAGGACACGGCAAAGCGTGAAGGCAGCTTGAGGGCTCTGCCCCGTCACCAGCACACGGCCAAGCCCCGCGTGTGTGTTCAGGGTTTTTGCAGTGCTGGACTGCAACCCACAGCCTCACGTGTCTATGCCAAGCCACGCCGGCCCTGAGCGGCTCCTGTGCTTCCTGTCCATGCCCATGCGTCCAGTGCTCACTGCCCTGCAGCCACACCCTGGAGCCACACAGGTGTGGCTGTCCCACACCGAGCTCACCTGACCCCCGCCCCGCCCTCTGCGCCCATCCTACTGCTGGGGTGTCTGAGAGGGGACTTGCCTGGGTGCATGGCTCCCTGGGGAAGGAGAAGGGCTGCCTATGCCATGCAGGGCCTGGGGTGCGTGTGAGCCTGGCCGCTGTCCCACCTTCCTCTGCTCCCAGGGGACTCACAGGCCAATGATGGCTTCTGAGAACACGGAGCAGTGCATTCCTGACCCCACGGTCCTGGGCCTGCTGCCAGCCTCCCTTGGGAGCTACCTGTGTCCATCGGAGCAACTCCTATGGATCCTTGAAATCCTTGCCCTGGTGGGCCACCCCAAAGCTTTCGGATGCCTTTTCTCCCTACCCTGCGCCTAGGACTGCAGTGAGTTCTCTGCAGATGTGACCTCTGCGCTCTCTGATGTCTCCCCATTTTGTGTTTTGTAGGACTCCGTGTCACTGAGGCCATCCATCCGATTTGACGGAAGTCAAGGGGTGAGTTTTTTAAGCCTCTTGGCCCTGGCTCCTCCTGTGTGAGGCTTTCTGTGTCCAGCTGAGGCCACCTGCCTCTGGGTGGCCTGAGGCCGATCCCATTGGGGGGTGGAGGGGATCACACCATGCCAGACCCTGGTGCCCACAGAGGGCCGCACAGGGTGGAGGAAAGCTCCTGGGTCCTCTTCTCACGGCTGATGCCCACCCCGCTCCTGACCCTGACCTCTGAGCCCGTTAGTGCCTGGGAACGACAGGAAGATGTGTATCAGAGTTCAGGGGTGAAGGGGGCCACAGAGACTGAGCACCTCATCATGTGTGAGCTCAGCTTCCTTCTGAACAGTTGTCTTCTGTAAGAGTTGGGCAAAGCTGGGCGAATGGCCGCCACTTTCCCCGAGGGCTCTGGACTCCATCCTCGCCCACTGCAGGAGCAGCTTGCTCCTCCTGGTCACACGACTTGTGCTTAGCACTAGCAAAGTTCAAGTTGCCACGCTCGCTCGGTCAGTGTCTGCCGACAGCCACTGAGCACGCAGTGGCCACAGGCTCTGTGGTGCTCGTACGCCATGGTCTGCGGGGTGGGCGGTGGCCCCCCTAGAGCGTGGCCCTAGCGGTGTCTCTGCTGCCCTAGGCAGCCTGAGCCCCGGCCCAGGCTGTTTTTCTCCTTGGGGAATCCTTGGGGCCCCAGACTCCAGAGGGTCATCTTTGCTTCCGTGGTGCATGGTTGTGGACGGTAAGCAATGACAGGTCACTGCTATTGTGCATCTGGCTCGTCAGCCTGGTCGTGGACACAGCGGCTTCCTCACACGGCACCTGTGGCCTGGGCTGTCTAGGCAGCCCTGCCAAGGCTCAGGGTGGCCTTTTGTCCCCTCCCCACAGGACAGCCAGGGGTTTCAGGGCAGTGTCCACAGCCCGGCCTGGGCCTGCTGCCAGCTTGGCCCCATAGTGCCCCCTGGTGGCCATGGCCACTCTGTCCTGAGCAGTGAGCGTGCTGAGGGCCCGTGCCTTGTGCCTTGGCGTCGAGCCTGAGTGCATCATGGTGGCCCAACAGGCATGTCCCCCGCGTCCCCCGCGTGCAGCTCTCGCTCCAGTTGCTGATGAACAGCACGGAGCGGGTGAGCAAGGGGACAGCCTGGCCATTGGCGTGGCTCTGCGCCCTGCTTTGCCTGCCTGCTCAGGCCCTGGAACCCACCAGCAGGACCCAGGGTGGCAGGAAGGAGAACAGTGGCAGTAGCCATCCAGGGCTCCAGGTCGGGGCCTTGTGCTGCTGTGGCCTCTGCCGTGGCATTGCCAGGTGCGGCAGGGCCTGGCAGAGGCCTTTGCCCCGTGCGTGTCGGGAAGCGTGCGAGGGAGGTAGTCTGGCCACGGGGCGCGCTTGCAGCTGTGCGTTGCAAACGTGGGCGGTTCAGAAATGGTCCTGAGGAGCCCGGCCACCACAGAGGACACGCGGGGCTGCACGCCCGGGGCGCCTTTGGGTTTTCCTTTGCGGCTGTGGAGGGAGCCAGAGCCTCGCCCACCCCTCACCCTGTCAGCGCAGCGGGATGGTCGGCTTCAGCTTGGCGGTTCTGTCCTCCGGGCTGCAGGCAGGTCCCCCGGAGGGGAGGGTGGCAGGGGCAGCACCCCCTGGTGACCACGGTCAGCCCACAGGAAGGGTGCAGGCGGGGAACATGTATGTGCTTGTTTATGGGGCTTCCTCACACCCCAGATAACCTGGCGCCCCACCCAGACCTGCCTCACCCGGCCATCCCATGGACCCCACCCAGAAGGCACAGGTGCCTCCAGTGGTGGTTGCATTCCTGGGGCTGGGCTGGGTGCCTCCCGGCCCAAGGGACACAAGCCCTGTGCTCCGCCTGTCACCAGCTACACGCTGCTCTCCTGAGCCTCACTTTGAAGTTCCACGTCACATACTGTCATCCCAAGCTCGAGTCCCCTACCCCGAATGACACGTGACCACTGGGTCCTTAGCAGGGCCCTGTGACACACTGGCCAGGTGGATGACTTCCCTGCCTGCTGCCACTGATGGTGGAGCCCACTGTGGCCGTGTGGCCCAACAGGACTGTGTGTGGCTACCCGGTCTCACCCCGGCCCTGCTAAGAGCTGGGTCTGCAGGAGCCAGGGCAAGTCCACCTGCCCAGGGGTCCCAGCTTGGCGTGGACCAGCCTCCACTCATGGGGGGCGGGGGGGCACCCTGGCCAGCGCCCAGTGCTGCAGCCCCACCTCTTTGTTCTGAGACCAGGCCTCGCGCAGTAGCCCAGGCTGGCCTGCGGTCACCATCCTCCCAGGTGCTGAGATCACAGGCTCTTGTTTTCCCTGACACCCTGCTCCTGGGCTTCCCGGCCTGCCACTTGCCGGGTCGCCAGGGCACTCATGTGGCTGGCCACTGTGGCGAGGCTCAGCCTCTGTTTGGAGTGGGTGTCTGGTGACTTCATGGTTGAGCACAGCCACAACTGGGAGGACGTGTAGACAGGACACCGTGGCACCATGCTGGCTGAGCTCACACCAGGCGGTGTCCATGCAGGACAGGGCAGGGCTGGGCAGCCAGGGCCACTTGCCCCAGTGTGCGTCTGCGTGTCTGCGTGTGCGTTTGTGTGTCTGTGCTCACGTGATTGGAGAGTGGACCTCAGTGGTTTTTTTGTTTGTTTGTTTTTTGGGTTTTGTTTCTTTTTTTTTATTATTTCTTATTTTTGACCTCAGTGTTGAAACACGGGGTGCAGGCCACTTGTTGCTCTGGCCGTGACAAGAACCTGCTTATGTTGACACAGACATGTGTTGGGTAGGTGGCCGGGTGAGACCATGGGCGTCCCAGGCCACGCCTGGCCACAGCCTGTGTCCTGCTGATGCCGTCCCCATGTGGTCCGTGGCCTGTGTGTGTCCACCTGGCTGTGAGGTGCTTGTGGGGGACTTTAGGAAGGGCTGCCCTGGTGCTAGGGCTCAGGGAAGGCCATGTCCGTCACCCCCCAGCATGGACAGGGCACAGCTCTGAACACCGCTGCCCACAGCCTGGCTGCGCACCCCATGAGGACTGTGCTGGCCGGCATGTGCGTGCTGTGGAGGGCTGTCCGCTGCCAGGCACTGTGGCACTCAGCAGCGTGTCCCCTGTTGCCTGTGACATTGCCTGGGGCCAGCGCTGCAGCCCTGGACGCGAGGCCGGTGCCCGTGGCGTGCGTTTCACCTTGGGTACCCCGTTTGATGAGGAGGAACAGGTCACCTCTGCAGAGCCTCAGGCCTGGGGTGGGGACCCTGCCTGCGGGGGGTGAGACCATAGCGCTGGCTGCCTCCCGTGACGCCCCCTGTCCACGCAGCACATCTGCGTGCCCCAGCCCGGCGGCCCCAAGGCGGTGCGCACGTTCTCCTTCTACCTGTCCAGCGCTGGCCGCGACGGCCCACAGGGCAGCTTTGACTGCGTGCAGCAGTGCGTCTCCAGGTGAGTGGCCGCAGGCGTGTGGGGCCGGCCGGTGGGGTCCCTGCCCGTCCCCTCCTCACTGTACTGACCTGCCCACAGCCATGGCCACGTCCACCTGGACTGCCTGGGCAGCATCCAGGACAAGGTCACGGTGTGCGCCACCGATGACTCCTACCAGAAGGCGCGGCAGAGCATGGCGCAGGCCGAGGAGGAGACGCGGAGCCGCAGCGCCATCGTCATCAAGGCCGGAGGCCGCTACCTGGGTGAGCAGGGCGTGGGAGGGACAGTCACCGGGCCGTCCAGGGAGGAAGGCCAGCTGTGGTGGCCGGGGCCGAGGCGCCTTCACGCCACGGTGTCGGGGCAGAGGCTCCTCGGGGCCCGAGGGCTGCGGCCAGGGTGAGGCCACTGCTGTGCCCCTCAGCTCCCACCCCGACCCGCTCCTTCTCAGGCCACCTGGTCACAGCAGCGCGGGGGCTGAGTGGCCGCAGGGCGCTGCGAGGCCATGGGGTCAGGTCTGTCCCTGAAGACAACGAATGACGGCCCTCGCTGGTGGGCGCTGGCGGGTCTGTGCGCGGAGCTCGGTGCCGTGCGGTCGCTGAGGTGGCAGAGCGCGCACACGCCGGTGAATTTGCACGCTTAGGTCCTGGTGGGCGCCAGCGTCAGCCGGCACACTGCCCACGCAGTGACCCGACACTCAGACGGTGGGGCCCGGAGGACCACAGCCCGGCCTGCGCAGTGAGACCCTGGCCTTAAAAGAATGCTGTGACTGTGGTCCTTCACCCGTGTCCCCGCACCGAGCAGGCCCAGAGGTGGGGGAGCCCGGGAGACTGCCTGGCTCCCCAGCCTGGGCCTGCTAGTCTGGGAGGGCAGCTCAGCCCTGGCCTGGGTACCATGCCCTGTGCCCGACACTTGGCTCTGTCGCAGGCAAGAAGGTCCAGTTCCGGAAGCCAGCGCCCGGAGCGGCGGATGCAGTGCCTTCGCGGAAGCGGGCAACGCCCATCAACCTGGCCAGCGCCATCCGGAGGAGCGGGGCCAGCGGGGTGGTGCAGAGGCCGCTGCGGGACCGTGTGGTGCACCTGCTGGCCCTGAGGCCGTACCGCAAGGCCGAGCTGCTGCTGCGGCTGCAGAAGGACGGGCTGGTGCAGGCCGACAAGGACGCGCTGGACAGCCTGCTCCAGCAGGTGCGTGGGCACGGGGTGCTGGGGCTGGGACACCCTTCCCCGTGTCTGCTGGATGCCCAGGGCCTCCAGGCTGGCGTGCAGGGGACCGTGCATAGGCCAGGCCCAGCACGCAGCCAGTGCTGACGTGGGGTCCACACGGTTGGGCACCTTGAGTGCAGCTCAGCTGGCCTCAGCTCCCCGCCCCGGGGGACAGCTGCCTCTGTGACAGCCGTCACCGCTGCACCCCTGACGAGCAGGGCTGGGCCGAGGGTTGGGACACTCCAGGTGGTCCTGCCCAGCACCCCTGCCCCTGACCCCAGAAGGGCCCGAGGCTGCAGCCTGGGCCCAGGTTCCTGGGGATGAGCGCCTCACGCTGGCCTCGACGTCAGCCAGGCTGTGGGGACATGCGGAGGGGTGACTGGCCCACAGGGTCTCTCAGCTGAGCAGGGACAGTGCCATTCCAGCGTCTCGTTTGTCCTGGTGCTCGCCGCTCCTGTCCTGCCTCATGCAGGAGCTTGGGTGGCACCTGCGCAGGAGCCACAGGTAAAGTGGTCACCGTCACACCATGTCTCCACGTGGTGCCGGCCATGAGGCTCTGCATCTCTGATGTGGCCCGCGGCCCATGGTCCTTAGGGCGTGAGGGACATTGTCGCTCTCACCTGCTTCCGGGCTCCCTGGAGCTGAGGCCGCGTCTGTGACGTGGGGACTTGGGGCCCGGTGCGTGCTTCCCACTGGTCAGCACTGCGGTCAGCACCTTTGTCACTTCACCGTGTGGACAAGACGGAGCCACAGTTACCTGCAGGGGACACTGAGCCTGGCCATGACCTGGCCCAATCATTCACAGAGGGCTGGGATCCAGGGCCACCCAAGGACCATGGGCTCCTGCATCCACTCGCGAGGCATCTATGAGAAGGTGGCCTTCTGAGCTGGGGCGAGCAGAGGACATGCAAGGGCCAAGCAGCAGTGTCCCCGCGGCTTGGGAGCCAGCCCGAGGGTGATCAGGAGACAGACATTGTGCTGGTGACTCAAGGTCAGCATCGGCAAAGTAGCTGCCACAGCTCACGGAAAGTGCTGGAACCCACAGGCCTCGCAGGTGCTGCTTCCAGAGAGGCCGGGCCACCACAGAGGAGCCTGGGGAGACAGAGGCAGGGTGGCCGTGGGAGCCCACTGGTCATCAGCGGAGACTGCTGCCAGCCTCTCCCCACCCCCCACCCAGAGCCCGGCTTCCCGGCCTGGCCGGTGCCTGTGGACGACGTCACGTGTGCCCACCCCGTTCTCCTGCTTCACAGCTGTTTACTGTGTACTCACTGTCCCCACACTGGGCAGCACAACACCACTGGCTTTCAGGAAGGGTGACCTCGGGGAGCTGTACCCAGTCTGCTTGCTTCCAGCGCGTGAGGCCGCCAGTCCCCGAGGACCAGCAGGGATGGAAGCCAGCTCCCGCAGGACACTGTCAGCTGTCCATCATGCAGATGCCACAGCAGGAGTGTCTGGCTTGGGGCCAGGCTGGGGAGAGTTGCAGCCCATCCTTTCAGTGGGGATGGCAGGACTGGAGCGACTGACCTAAAGACGCCTCTGCAGAGACAGCCCCGGAGCCATGGCCAGTAGAGCAGTCGGCACCTGCTGGGGCCTGTCGGTGCTGCGGAGAGGCCAGACCTGCGCTGGCGTCCAGCCCCGGGGAAGTTTTTGTCACAGGGCATCACTCAGCCAAGGAGAAGCTGTTCTGTGAGCCAGGTGCGGGGGCATCTGTGATCCCAGCATCCGGGAGGCTGAGACAGGAAGATGGCCACTTCCAGGCCAGTTTAGGGCACAGAGTGAGACCTGTCTACAAGAACAAAAGAAAAACCAACCCTCGGTCCCCATGGGGCGCACTGGACACGGCCCTCGCAGGTCGCAGCTGTCCCGCGGGGAAACCGTGGCTCTGTGTGTCAGGGCTGAGTCTCGGCCACGGCTTTGCAGCGGCTGTGAGAGCTGGGCCGGCGGCAGGACAGGCAGACCTGGCTCAAGAGGAGCACTGGGGATGCGTCCCCTGCAAGATGTCACCATGGACCCCATGCCTGGCCCTGCTCAGTGGGCCGTGGACGGGGGCAGGGCACCCGTCTGTCCGTCCCCTGCCTTCCGCGCTCCCATCCATTCCCGCCCCGGGTGTGCAGGACGCCACCCGCCTCAGGCTTCCTGCAGGTGACATGGCTCTGTGTTGCAGGTGGCCAGTGTGAGTGCCCGTGACGGCACATGCACGCTGAGGGACTGCATGTACAAGGACGTGCAGAAGGACTGGCCGGGCTACTCAGAGGGCGACCAGCAGCTGCTGAAGCGGGTCCTTGTCCGGTAATGCCACTTTTCCCCCCGCTCGCTGTCCCCACCCCAGTGTGGTCTCAGGACACAGGGTGACCTGGCCTCGTCCCCGGGGCCCAGGGGCAGGCTGGGAGGGTCGCAGTTCTCACTGGCGTCCCTGCGCTCTGCCAGTGCTCTGCGAACAGCCGCACACCTGTCGGGCACCCCCGGGGAGTGAGCGAGGTCCTCCGAGCGCAGCGAGCTGGGGTCCCTCGGGTCACTGGCTGCTGGAGCCACCGTCAGGTGTCCTGGGTGCCCCGGGAGGCTGGTGGTGGACATGGTGTTGCAGAAGACACCAGCGTCCCATGCTAGGGTCCACTGCCTCTCTCACTGAGCTGTGGCCAGGTGTCTTTCAGGCAGGGAGCTGCCACCCTCACCGGGCTGGCTTGGGGTCCACGTCACCGTGTGCAGGAGGAGAGCAGGGCTCCTGGTGGCCCGTGGCCGTGTGCAGCCCCCTTCTCCTTGGGTGGCTCAACCCTGCCCAGAGGGTGTCCATGCATGGCAGTGTCAACAGGTGGCCAAGTCCATGCTAGGTTTGCTTTGTTTCTTTAAGGCAGGGTCTTCACTCTGCAGCCCAGGCCAGCCTAGAACCCGTGACCCCCTGCCTCAGCCTTCCGAGCGCTGCTGGGGTTGCAGGTGCGGCCACCACACCAACAAATGGCCAAGCCTCAGCTTTGAGAGCTAAAGGCAGCTTTCCCTCCACACCAAGGCCGGGGCTGTCCTCTGCTCGTCCATCCACTCAGGATGGCCACTGACACCTGTAATCCCAGCTGCTCAGGAGGCAGAGATCAGGACGATCACGGTTCAAAGCCAGCTTGGGCAAATAGTTCCTGGAGACCCTATCTCAAAAAACCCTTCACAACAACAGGGCTGGTGGAGTGGCTCAAGGTGAAGGCCCTGAGTTCAAGTCCCAGTGTGGCAAAAAAAACCCAAAAAAACCAGCGTTATTGAGGTGACGTTCACAGCTCAAGTCACCCGGTAAAGCACTGGCAGTGCTGTGCAGCTGGCCACCTCCTCTGTGCGGTTGCAGAACGTCCTGTCCTCCCCAAAACAAAAGTCCCCATTGGAAATCGCTCCCGTCCCTCCCTGGCCCCTGCTCTGCTTCCTTCCTGTGGATTTGCCACTCTGCACATTTTCTGTCACTGGGTCACACTCCGTGCAGCCTGTGTGTCCGGCTCTGTGTAAATGAGCGAGCCGTGACCGCACAGAACACTGCTGGGAGCGTCATAAAGTCGGGGCCCTGCGGGAACCAGCTTGGGCTGCACCTGTTGCTGGCCTTTTCCTGGGGGGTCCGGGCAGCGTGGCGCCCATGTGAGACAGGTGCACGCACGGGTGCGTCTTCTGTCCCCCTCTTCCTGCAAGGCACCCAGGAGTCAGCCGAGCTGCCCAGAGACCTCATCTCATCCTGTCATCAGCCCCGCACTGTCTGTCACAGGGGCCATACTGATCCATGTCCGGGTGCCCTGCCCGTCCTGGGGGTCGTGCTCCCCAGCTCCATGCAGACAGTGGGGCTCACGTGGCCTTGCCGCGGATCCTCTGACCCCCGCCGCTCCTCCACAGGAAGCTGTGCCAGCCGCAGGCCCCCAGTGGCCTCCCAGCCGCTTCCCCTGCTTCCAGCCCGCCCCATGAGCCCGGGAGCTGCCCATCCCCGCCACAGGTACCATGCTGGGCGGAGGGGCTGGAGGGAGGCAGGGGACGCTGCCACTCCTGCTGCATGCTGTTCCTCCTGTCCCTCCGTGGGGCTTTTTGGAGCAGGATCCCCAGGCCAGCCCTCCCTCGGCCACAGCAGCGTTGAGCCTGCCCTCAGCCCCCCTCCCCTGTGTGGGACCTGGTGTTGGCCCGAATGGCCATGCAGGCAGGCCCTGCGTCCCCTGGGGCTGGCACTGCCCGGAGGTCACTTCCTGTCCTGTTCTTCGCTTCCCAGAAGCGGCCGCCCCCTCCTGACTTCACTGACCCCCTGGCCAGCAAGAGGCCCCGCATCTCCCACTTCACGCAGCGCTCACAGCCCACCCTCAACGGGAAGCTGTGTGCGTCCAACGGCCGTGAGGCCCTGCTGCCCACCCCGGGGCCACCAGCTGCCACGGACACCCCCGGCCCTGGTGCCCCCGCGCCCCCGCGTGTCCACGACCCTCTGGCCGATGTCAGCAACGACCTGGGCCACAGCGGCCAGGACTGCAGACAGGTGGACCCCGCCCCCCCAGCCCCCACCACACACCTCGGCCTCCCCCTGCTGACGGACTTGGCCCAGCCAGACAGGCTGCACGGCGCCTCGCACGGCAAGCCCAAGAAATCCAAAAAGCACAAAGACAAGGAGCGGCCTGAGGACAGGCACCGCGCCCGGAGGCCTGACCCCACGCCCGCCACCCACGCCGCGCCGCCCGACACCCCAGGTGGGTCCCGTGGCCGCTGGCCCTCCCCGTGTGCGGGGACCCAATGCTGAGGCCCCTGCCACTGGTGGCTGTCCTTGTGTCCACCTGTGGGGTGACACATGGGAGGAGCTAGTTCTGGCCACCAGGCTACCTTGCAGCCCTAGGGGACTGGGGACCGGGCCCAGTGCGGCCCTGCACGCACCAGGGGGAGCTCCTGGCCAGCACTGAGCAGAGGGTGCTGCAGCCTGAGGCAGCACTGGCCACCAGGGGGCGGGGTCCAGCACCCGTGGCCAGCTCCAGCGATGGTGGCCTGGGGCAGCCCTGACCCGCTTCCAGGTGGGGTCCTGGCCCAGGCCCTGGGGGACACCTTGTGCTGTCCTGTGTGGCCCGGCGCCCAGTCCCTCGGGAGTGGGCTCCAGCAGGCCCCGTGTGTGCAGAGGCCGGTGCTGTGGGGTGCCCTTGGGCCCCGTGGGATCGGCTTGTGGGGACCGAGGTGAGGCTAGCCTTCCGGGTGTGGGGTGCACCGATGTGCTGGGACACGCAGGTCCCCACCCTGCTACCCGGCGAGCGCCCCGCGGGCCTCAGCGGACCTTGTCGCCCTCGCAGGCGTGAACGGAAGCTGCAGCAGTGCCAGCGCGCCCACGTCCACGTCGGACACGCCCGACTACCTGCTGTGAGTACCGCAGCCGGCCGGGTCGCCCGGGGCCGCCGTCCCGGCGGGGCCCTGAGCCGGCCCTCCTGTGTCCGCAGGAAATACGCGGTCATCTCGTCCTCGGAGCAGCGCCAGAGCTACAAGAACGACTTCAACGCCGAGTACAGCGAGTACCGCGACCTGCACTCCCGCATCGAGCAGATCACGCGGCGCTTCACGCAGCTCGACGCCCAGCTGCGCCAGCTGTCCCAGGGCTCCCCGGAGTACGAGGTGCGCGGCTCTGCGCCCCGGCACGCGGTGCCACCCCGGGGCGCGCAGGCGGCCGGGCTGGGGTGCGGGGACTCGGCCGAGCCCCACAAGCCAGGGGCAGCAGGAGGCCCGCAGGGCCGGGGGCCAGGACGGAACCCGGGGCTCTGCAAAAGCGGGTGTGCGGGAGGCGCCGGCCAGCGGGGCGGCCATGGGGCGTGCGGGCAGCCGGGCTGGGGTCTGCATCGTGGCCGCGGCCGTGTTGTGCACAGAGCGTTGGGAATGGCGGGGGCCTCTCAGGGCCTCGAGCTCCTGGTCCCCCTTCCGTCCTCCCTGCTGCGCCCAGTGGCCACCGTGCTGCGTCCCGGAACAGTGGACAGGCGCAGCCGGGTTCGTCGCCACGGAGGGACAGTAAGTGGTTGGGTTTGTCTCCACAGACCACGCGTGGGCAGATTTTGCAGGAATACCGAAAAATCAAAAAGGTGAGTGGCAGGCCAGGCCGGCGGCTCCCGGTGAGCCGTGCGGGGACCGCGCGGGGCTGGGGACGTGTGTGGCGCGGGATGCACGCGTGACCGAGCGCTCCCGCCGCCCCGCAGACCAACACGAACTACAGCCGGGAGAAGCGACGCTGCGAGTACCTGCACAGCAAGCTGGCGCACATCAAGCGCCTGATCGCCGACTACGACCAGCGCCAGCTGCAGGCCTGGCCCTAGCGCGCGCACGCACGCCCGCCGGCACGCGCACGCACGCCGGCCCAGCCGCGGCCTCGCTTCCTTTTCTAGTTTTCTACCAAGGCAGCCACTTTTAGCCACTGCGACAGAGACCGGGTCTATTTTTGTACAGAGAGCGCGGAACCTTTTCTAGTCCTGTCCCCTCCCCTTGGACGCCAGGGCGCGGCCTCGGCCCACGGCGGCCTCGCTCCGTCCTCCGCCTGCGTGGGCCGGGGCGCGCGGAGCTGTGCGGGGCTCGCACTCAGGGAGGGGCCGGGGCCGCGGGAGGGCGCCCTGCGTCGGCCCTCTGCGGGGCGCAGGCTCCGGGACACCCCACTGCTGCTTTGTCGCTGTGCCTGACCCCGTGTCCCAGTGTCCCCGAAGCTCGGGGCGTGCGTGCGTGCGAGCAAGACAGGAACGTGGGGGCCGCACCCCGCGGGGGTCCCTGCGGGTGCAGAGGGCAAGGCTGGGCCCAGCCTCGTCCACGGTGTCCCCGCTTCCGCCTGCCTTTCCCGCCGCCCCGCATCGTCCTGAGGGGGCGCGGAGCCGAGGGCCGGGCGCCATGGCCCCGCTGCTCCCGCCCCCGTTTACTGACACTGGTCCCCCCGAAGTGCGGGAAGCCATTTGAGCCACGTGCTGTTTACAAGACTCTCACTGTTGCCAAAATGTTACAGGGGAGGCGCCGCCACCCGCGGCCCGCGGTCCCCTCCAGCCGAGTTTTGAACCCACAATAAACTTCACCCCGCCCGTCGCAGCTGTGTCGCACCGGGCTTTCTGGGGCGGGGAGGTGGCGGGCCCGGAGCCCCGGGGAGGGCAGAGGGGGTCGCGCCACCCGGGATCCGGGGCTGATGGGGGCACACGCAGCAGGTGTGAGCCCCGTGGGGAGGGGACAGGGGCGTGTCCATCGCCCGTCCCGTGTCTCGTAACAGTGACCGAGGCAGGCCGCCCGGGTCACACCATGACACCCCAGCTCAAAGCCCACCAGCCCCCCAAAACTGACTGCTTGTGCGGCCCCAGCCGCATCTGTGGCCGTGCCCCGCCCGCCCTGCAGGAGGGACACCTGGGCTCCATGGGGTCCAAGTGAGGACTGGCGCCAGGCCCAGCCCTGAGGACCAGTGTTTGTTTCAAAAAGGAAAAACACAAGGGACACCCGCGGTGACAGGGTCCCGGGGTCAGCGGGCCGCTGAGGCCTTGGGCCGAGTTCTAAAGAGCCCGGGAATGGCCGCAGGGCCGTGTACCCGGCAGGGGGTGGCCTGGCCTCCCTCTCCTTCCCCGGGGCAGCATCTCTGTCCCCACAGCCGAGCACCAGCAGCCGCCTGCCTGTCCCTGTCCTACCCTGGGGCGCCTGCCCCCAGCCCCAAGCAGGCCTCGGGCCACACCTGCCTTTGTCCCTGCTGAGTGGGGAATGTGCCCAGGCCAGTCCTGCCCTGCAGGGGTCCAGGAGGGCCCCCCACAACCCTCCAACCCGCCCTCTGTCTCAAGCTCTTCCCTCTGCCCTGCCTGTCCCCTCCCAGGGGCCTCTCCCTGGCCCCGTGAGCCTCCAGGCTTCTTGCTCTTGGTCACGTCCATCCCTTTGACGTATGTGTGGCACTCAGTGCGAGCAAGGTCCCCCCAGCACCACGCCACCGCCCTGGCAACCTTCCCACCCCATGCCAGCAAAATGGGGACAGGCACACGACACGCATGGGCTGCAGCCGCAGCGCCTGTCACAGCCACACTGAGGACCCCGGTTCCGTCCCAGCACCGCAGAGTGACACAAAAGACTGTTGCAAATTTATGGAATGAGGTTCGTGAGCCCCTCCCCCACCGTGAGCCTTCAGGAAACGCAGGCCCGAGGCCGAGGCTGCAGCGCCAGGGCCGTCAGAGCCGGGGTGCGACCGAGGGCTGCGGAGGACCGAGGTCCGCTCTTCCTCCGGGGAGGACCAGGCCGGCTGGACACCGGGCAAAGCTTGGCGCTTCCGTCCCGGGTGTTCTGCGCTGCTTGGGGACGGGGGAGGGGAGAAGCCTGATTTCGGTGGCTCACTGTGGGAGTCTGCAGGACTTGCAAGAAGAGCCCAGGCCTGGGGGTGTCCGGTTCCGAACCCCAGCAGGGTCCTTACACAGGTCCACTGACTGAGGTGACTCCAACTCCCAGAAGGCAGGGACAGAGAGCAGCCACTCTAACAGGACCCCAGGCCCGCGGCTCTGACTCCTGCCTCCTCCCACGGGCCGCCTTTCCCGGAGTGGAGTGTGGGAGGCTGCGGACTTCTCTTCATACCTCAAAACCCTTCCCAGCAGTGGCCTCCTCTGCCTGTGCCGAGCTGGAGGTGCCCGGGCCCCTTCCGGTGAGGCCGCGGGAGGCCTTCGCTGCGTCCTTTCCCAGCCTTGCACCTTCTGGAGCAGCTCCAGCGTGGAAACTTCCCGCGGAGGAGGACGCTTGTTTTGGACATTCCTGGGCAAACCGCCCCCTGGTTCCCACGCTCCTTATCTCTGCTGTGTCCAGGGGACAGGGGCTGGGCTGGCCAGTGCCTTCCCTTCCCTCTCCTTGTCCCCAGTGCATAGCCCACAGCCCACCCCTCCTGCCCACTGCCACTAGGCAGGTCCCCATGCAGGTGGGGAAACCGAGGCCACACACGAGTCCATCCCCCGGGGAGCCGAGTGGACACCCCTGCTTATGAAGGGGTCCCAGGCCTGGCTGACCTCCCTTTCGCCTGGAAAGGGGGGGTACAAATGGTAGGCCCCAGGATCTCTCCCTGTCCACCCCCTCCCCCCGCGCAGACCCAGCTCCACCCCCGGCTGGCGGGGGCCTCACTGTCCACTCTGGTAACGTGGACAATTGGCCGCGCCCCGCCCCCACCCCGCGGGCCCCGCTGGCTTCGAACCCCGGCCCAAGGGCGCCCCTCCCCCTAGGGGCGGGGCGGGGCGGGGCCGCGGCTCTTTTCTCCCGCGGTTTGCGCGCGCCCGGAGCCCGCGCTGCCCGCCACTGCCCACTGCCCACTGCCGTCCGTGCGGTGAGTGCGGGCTCGGGCTCCGGGGTGTGTGTGGGGGGGAGATCGGGATCGGGGTCGTGGCCACCCCGGGACTCCGGCTGAGCCCTGTACCCCTCAGATCGCCGCCATGGAGGCCACCGACTTCGTAGTGGACAGCCCGGACGTGGTCTACACCCCCGAGGCCATCGAGGCGCGGTACGAGTACCGAACCACCAGCGTCAGCCACGAGGGCGGCGGCCTGAAGGTGGGCGAGGGCCGGGGTCCGGGGGACAGGGGCCGGGGGGATGGACCAGTCACCCCCGCTGACCTCGCCCTCGCCCCAGGTGCGCCCCACGTCCACGCACTTCACCTTCCGGACCGCCCGGCAGGTGCCCCGGCTCGGGGTCATGCTGGTCGGCTGGGGCGGGAACAACGGCTCCACGCTGACCGCGGCCGTGCTGGCTAACCGCCTGCGCCTGTCCTGGTCCACGCGCACCGGACGCAAGGTGGGGGGCGCCGCGGTCCGAGGGGGGCAGTGGGGGAATCCGGGCGGGGCCCGCGAGGTGGGCACCGCCCAAGGCCTTTGCGGGGGCGGGGCCTAAGGCGGAGTGGTGGGCGGGGCCTTGTGACGTCACGGGGAGGGACCAAACGCAGAAGGCAGTACGGCATGGGCGGAGCCTCGGTGGAGGTCGTGGAGGTGGGGCCTAATGTGGAGCGTGCATGGGGTAGGCGGAGCCTGGAAACGTCATGGGGGCGGAGCCTATGCCGAAGGGTGCGCGGGTGGGCGGTGTCACGGAGGCGTGGCTTAGGGCGGCCGCGCTCCGCAGAGGGCGGGGGAGTGGGCGTGGCCCCGCGGATCGCGCCCAGACTCTGAGCTCCTGAAAGCGGGCGGAACCTGAGGCTCAGGCCGGCCCCTGTCCTCGCTGCGTCCCCTCACCCGCGTCCCCTGTCACCTCCCCTCCACCCCAGGAAGCCAACTACTACGGCTCGCTGATGCAGGCGGGCACCGTGAGCCTGGGTCTGGATGCTGACGGCCAGGAGGTTTTCGTGCCTTTCCGTGCGCTGCTGCCCATGGTGGCGCCCGATGACCTCGTGTTTGATGGTGGGCGGGGGAGGGGGAAGGGGAGCGGGGAGGGTCTCGGGAAGGATCGAGGGTCAGGGTGGCCGAGCGTCAGGGTGTCCGCTCCCCAGGCTGGGACATCTCGTCGCTGAACCTGGCAGAGGCCATGCGGCGCGCGCAGGTGCTGGACTGCGGGCTGCAGGAGCAGCTGTGGCCGCACATGGAGCAGCTGCGCCCGCGGCCCTCGGTCTACATCCCCGAGTTCATCGCCGCCAACCAGAACGCGCGCGCCGACCACCTCATCCCGGGCACGCGCGCCGAGCAGGTGCCCTCCCTCTTCCCCGCGTGACCCCTGCTGCCACCTGCCCTTCCCCTGGCCCCAGTTCCACTTGTACAACCCCTCCCGCACCCTCTCCCAGCTGGAGCAGATCCGCAAGGACATCCGCGACTTCAGGTCTACCGCGGGGCTGGACAAGGTCATCGTGCTGTGGACGGCCAACACGGAGCGCTTCTGCGAAGTGATCCCGGGTCTCAACGACACGGCCGAGAACCTGCTGCGCACCATCGAGGTGGGCGCACGTGAGCGCGCGGGGCTGCCGCAGGGCGAGCCCGACCCCGGCCGCTGACCCCTGACTCCCAGTCCCCCCGCGCCCGCAGCTCGGCTTGGAGGTGTCGCCGTCCACGCTGTTCGCCGTGGCCAGCATCCTGGAGGGCTGCGCCTTCCTCAACGGGTCCCCGCAGAACACGCTGGTGCCCGGCGCGCTGGAGCTGGCGTCGCAGCGCCGCGTGTTCGTCGGCGGGGACGACTTCAAGTCAGGCCAGACCAAGGTCAAGTCCGTGCTCGTGGACTTTCTCATCGGCTCGGGACTCAAGGTACGCGGCTCGGGGAGCGCGGGTGTGGTGGGGGACGGGGCCCCGGGTGAGCGCGGTCACGGGGGTCGTGCCCGCAGACCATGTCCATCGTGAGCTACAACCACCTGGGCAACAACGACGGGCGCAACCTGTCGGCGCCGCAGCAGTTCCGCTCCAAGGAGGTGTCCAAGAGCAGCGTGGTGGACGACATGGTGCAGAGCAACCCGGTGCTGTACGCGCCGGGCGAGAAGCCGGACCACTGCGTGCGTGGGGCCGTCCCGGGGGGTGCGGGGGGCTGGCTGGGGGCGCTGGGGACCCGTGCGACGTGCGACCGCCCCCTTAGGTGGTCATCAAGTACGTGCCCTACGTGGGGGACAGCAAGCGGGCGCTGGACGAGTACACGTCGGAGCTGATGCTGGGCGGGACCAACACGCTGGTGCTGCACAACACGTGCGAGGTGAGGGGGAGGCGCGGTGGGGCGTGGCCTGCGGGGCCCCGCCCCCGGCCGGCCTTGACCCCGCCCCCCGCAGGACTCGCTGCTGGCCGCGCCCATCATGCTGGACCTGGTGCTGCTGACCGAGCTGTGCCAGCGCGTGAGCTTCCGCACGGACAGCGACCCCGAGCCGCAGGGCTTCCACGCGGTGCTGTCGCTGCTCGGCTTCCTGTTCAAGGCGCCGCTCGTGCCGCCGGGCAGCCCGGTGGTGAACGCGCTCTTCCGCCAGCGCGGCTGCGTGGAGAACATCCTCCGGTGCGTGGCGGCAGGGGCGCGGGCGGAGGGGGGTCGGGGTTTCGGGGTACGCCCTGCTGACCCCCGCCGTCCCCAGGGCGTGCGTGGGGCTCCCGCCACAGAACCACATGCTGCTGGAGTACAAGATGGAGCGGCCCGGCCCCGGCGTCAAGCGAGGCGGGTTGGTGGCGGCCACCAGTCCCCTGCCGTGCAAGAAGGGGCCCGCGCCCGCCGCCACCAACGGCTGCACCGGCGACGCCAACAGGCACCCGCAGGCGGAGTCTCCCCAGGTGCCCATGGCCTGAGGCCGCGGCCGTCTACGCGCCCCCTTCCTGTCCCCTTGTGCCCAGGTCCCCCGACAATAAAGCGGGTTTCCCACCCACGTGTGCGACAGCTTCGCCCTCCCGCTCCTCAGAGGCGGCGCGGCCACAGCCAGGGACGGACACGGCTACCAAAACCGCGTTTCCTTTATTGACAGGCGTCGGTCCCGCAGCCCCCGGACGCGCGCGGCGGGGAGCGTGGGACGAGCGTCGCTGAGGTCCTTGCGTGTGTACGCGTGAGAGTCCGCGGCGCGGGGCTCGCGGGCCCGCGGTCACACGCTCATGGTCATCCCCGGGGAGTACTGCGGAGAGAGGCCGGGCTCAGCCCCGCCCGGGGCCCGGGGACGGGGAGGGGGGAGGGGAAGGTGCGCGGCCGCCCCCCCACCTGGCCCGCCGCGGTCACGGTCTTGCTCTGGCCCCCCGGCCGCCCCGCCGGGGCCGCCCCGCCAGGCCCCTCCGGCCCGCCGCCGCCGCCGCGGTGGGGGAGTCGACGCAGTCGCTTACGCTTTCGCCCGGGAACGGGTGCAGGAAGGTCCCGGCCATGTCGCCGTCGTCCCGCGGGGTGCCCGGGGCGTTGCTCAGGCCGCCCACGGCGCCGGGGGAGCTCTGGGGGCGGCCGCGGTCAGCGCCCGGTCCCCGCCCGGCCCGGTCGCCCCCGCCACCCTGGTCCTCGCCCACCACCACCCCCTGCCCCAGCCCCAGCCCGGGCCCCGCGCCCTTACCTTCGGCAGCCCGTCCACGTCGCCAGAGCCTGCGGAGAAGGCGGCACGGCTGAGGCGGGGCGAGGCGGGGCGGGGCGGGGCGGGGCGGAGACGGGCAGGGGCGGGGACTGCGAGGGGAGGGGCGGGGATTGAGAGGGCGGGGCTTGGCGGGGACTGAGGGGAGGGGCGGGGCCGCTGCGGTCCCCGAGCGCCATGCGCGTTGGGCTCGGCCGGCAGGGGGCGCGGGCCGCACTCACCCAGGGATCCGTTCACGTGGTGTGGCTCCATCGCGCTCATGGCGGCCATGGGGCCCTCGGCGCCAGGGCCCAGCGGGAACTGCGGGCACAGGGCGACGTGGGACTCGGGCCCGCGAACCCCGCGTCCCCGCCCGGCCAGGCCCGCACCCCACTCACGTTAGCCCTGGCGGCGCCCGGGCCGATGGGGTTCAGCACGGCGTACATGCTCTCGCTGGACGTGGTGGAGTCTGCGGGGACAGCGCAGGCTCGCCGGGGGCGCGGCCCGGATCACCGGCCACCCCGCCCGCCCGCCCGCCCGCCACGCCCGTACCTCCAGGGCTGGGCATGATGGGCGTCCCGGGGGGCCCGCCTCCTCCGGGGGGTCCCTGCGCGGAGGGACACGGGCGGTGAGCGCCGCCGACACCCCTGCTGCCGCCCGCACCCGAGCCCGGCCTGCGCACTCACCGTGTAGCTGCTGCCGGGGGACGAGGAGGAGTAGGGGATCTGGGGACAGGGACAGCAGTGAGCGCGGGGACCGTGTCACACCCCGCCTCCCCCACCCACTCCCGCACTCACCGAGTTGCCGCTGGGACTGGCCCAGGGGCCGCGCGCGCCCGGGATCCTGCGACAGACGGACGGGGACGCTGGGGCTGGACAGGGGCCACCACACCCCTCCCACCCCACCCACCCCAGCCTGCCCACAGGGGTCCACGTGAGGCGCTCCCCAAGCCGCCCTCACATCCCAGACCGTCACTCCCTAGGGACTAAGCGCGACCTTGTGCCTCAGTTTCCCCGCCCAGCAGGGACAGCAGAATAAGCAAAATGCAGGTTGCCCTGAGAATTTAGGGCTCCCCCCACCCCCATCCCCGGTGGACACCAGCTGGGGACACCCAGGTCTTACATGCTCATGGCGGGCAGCCCCGGGCCGGCGAGGGAGTTGGGCGGGGGCCTCATGCCGCCCCCGTAGCCCTGGGGAGCCAAAGGGACCGTGAGAGGAGCGCGGGGACAGCCCAGTCCGCCACCCACCGGGCCCCGCCTCACCTGCGGCCCAAGGCTGGCCAGGCCCCGCGGAGGCGTCACCCTCTGCATTGGGCCGCCCATGCTCGGGTGCCCTGCGGCGGGGACAAAAGGAAGGGGTCAGGGCTGGGCCCCTGGCCAGCACCAGCGCTTGTCCCCATGGCAGCAGGGGTCCCCATGGCAGGGCGGCCGCTGGCGCCTCCCTACTCACCCTGAGCCCGCGGGGAGGGGTCCATGGCGCCGGGGAGGAGGGGCTGGGCGCCGGGGAGGCCCACGGGAGGCTGCGAAGGGGGCGCGGCAGCACTGAGTTAAGGGGTCCCCGGCCCCGGCCCGACCCCTCCCCTCATCCCTCTCTCACCTGACTCGGCATCCGCAGGGTGGGCCGGGGGCCCCCTGGGAACCGCGGTGACATGAAGGGCTGGAAGAGGTGGGTGGGGGATCAGCACTGCCCCCCACCCTGCCTTCCCCCCAGAAGCTCCCGGCTCCTGCTATGTCTGCGCCCCACGCTGGAGAGCCCCAGCCACACAGCGGCCAGCACTGCCGGGGGGTGGGGTCCCGCAGGTCCTTACCTGGCCGTGAGGCCCCAGCATAGGGGCGTTGGGGCTGTGGGGGGGCAATGGGGAACCCTGGGAGCCCTAGGACAGAACCAGGTATGTCGGGGTGGGGTCACCGGAAGCCGGCTTCCTGCGGCTCTGCTGAGCCTGGCCGGGGAAGGGGACAGGGCTCCCTGGAGGCGGGAGTGTGGCCAGCCTACAGACAGAGACCCTGCGGGAAGGGATGTGGGCAGGAGTTTTGGCACCAGGGCGCCCCAGGGCCAGTGTCCCCAAGTGCACCGTGCACGTTGAGGGCAGAGACACCTGCTGGCCCCTGCTGGCCCCTGCTGGTCCCTGCTTCACAGCTCTGCCTTGGTGGCTGGGCCAGGGACACATGTGCGCATCCACTGCGGTGCCCACTCTCCCGCCAGGTCCAGGCCTGGCCGTACCTGGAAGAAGCCGGGCGCCATCGGGCCTGCGGCCATTGCGTCACTGGGAGCCATGCTGCCCATCACGGGGCTGGGGGCCGCCGCGGTGCTCTGCAGGGGCGGGGGACACCGGAGGACCGGGTCAGGAGTAACAGGAATATGCCGGCATTAACACCTTCATTTCGCCCCCCCGGTTGAAGACATCACCACCCCTCTGCTCCCGGGAAACACCCCGAAGAAACAAGCCCCGGTCCTCAGCAGACACCCCGGACGCCCCTTGTCAAGTGATGGCCTCCGCCCCAGCGACCTCAGCAGCAGCGCACGCGCGTGTCACCCGCTTCCTCCTTCCCCCAGCACCGCGCACACAAACGCCTCCCTCGCGGGCAGCCCCGCAGCCTGCCTCCATGTGCCCGTTACGGGAGGTGGCAGGTGCGGAGGGCACCGTCCGGGTCCGCGTCCCCTTCTCTCTCTCTGACCTCTCCCAGGCTCCTTTACCACTGACCGATTCCTATGTGAAAGAGTCCTGATGTGTGGCCCAGGCTTCTGACCTGACCCGCATGACATGCATCTCAACCCTGTCCTATCCTCCTCTCCTCCGAGGAGAGGCAACGGGTCTGGGACGCGGCCAGGGCACATGCAGACGACGAGTCCACCGTACTACACCCATCCCGCTGGGGCTACTGCCGCCCAGCTAAAGCCCAACTGGACTCCAGAGCAGCGGCCGGGCTCTGCGGGATCGGACGGCGCTTGCCTGATAGCGGGGGCTAGAAAGGGCCGCCCAAAAGGTTATGAATGTCCATAGAGTTAGGTCCACAAGAAAAGGAGGAAACCGGCCCACTTTCTCTCACGCCTCACTGAGGCCACGATGAATACTGAAGTGGACCCAGGGACCCGATGGTACGAATGACCGTCATTAGTCATCATGTGGGACCTTCCCGACATTGGGAAAAAGCTCAAGGTTAGAAAACGGCCCCAGACTCCACAGGCGAAATTTTAAATGTCTTGGCCTTTCAAGGTTTACAATTACCGAGAGGAACGACAAAGATCCGACAGCGAGAGGAGGGGATAAGGCCAAATTCCCAATGCCGGCACAAGCCCTAGGACAAGGGCCCCCGACCCCTGGCTCCCGCAGCCCGGGAAAATCCTGAGCTTGCTCCGTCTGCCTCCGCGTCCATAGATTGTGGCCTCGCGAAGGGACACTGGGGCTGTGCTGTCACCAGGGCCGTGCCCAAATGCAAGCAGTAGGCACTGGGGACTGGATTGCCCCTCTGCCTGTCAGGGAGGACGGTCCAAGCCTCCCCACACTGCCCGCTCTCTAACCAATCCAGGCTGGCCGCTGAAGACTGAAGGGGCCCGCGGACTCCCCGGCCTGACGGTAACACCCCCACGGAGCCCGGGGTAACCGCCATCATCGAAGGTAGGCCTGTCTCCTTCCTCCTAGACACTGGCGCCACCTTTTCGGCCTTGCCGGAGTCCTGGGGACCTACCCGACACTCGCAGCCGTCCACTCGTTGCTTTCCGACCCTCCCCCATTGCCCTACTCCACTCTTGGGGAGCCATTCTCTCAGTTCCCAGCCACCCTCACTTCCTTCCCCTGCCCTTCCAGCCGCAGCCGGCCGGCCCCTCGCCTCCCCCCCACGACCAGTCCTGGCCATGCTGAAGCGCCTTCCCTGGCCCACCCGGCCCCTCACCCTACCTCCCTCACTGGTGACCCCACCGTTTGGGAATCTCAGAAACCCTGTGCTCGCTACGCACCACGACCCAGTCATCATCACCCTACAGGCTCCCTCTCTTGTCCCCAATCAGCCCCAGTACCACATCTCCTTCATTCACTTAGAGGGACCAAAACCCAGTATCTGAGGATCTCAGCCACAGGCTCGCTTCGCCCCCCACACTCTCCGTACAACACTGCCATTTTGCCAGTGGAAAGGCCGGCGGCCCCTACCACGTCACCCACACCGCTGTGACCCCACACATCCGCTGGTCCCGAACCCCAACCCCTTTCTCTCATTCCGCGCCCACAAAACCCACTTCACGCTCCCCGATCTCTCAGGATGCCTTCTCCCTTATCCCTGTCCACTCCAAAACCCAGCCCCTGGACCGACCCAGACACACACGCTTCCCGACAACTCACCCGGACCGTCCTCCCCAGGGCAGCTGTGACGCCCCCATGTCTTTGGTCAGGCCCTGGCGCCCGGATCTCCTCGCCTCCAACGTCCCAGCGCACTCCTCCTTTGCCGCCAGCCGTCAGCACACCCTCATCTACCGGCGTCACCCGAACAGGCCCAGCTTTCCCTACAGATGACGTACCTTCCCTGACCACATCCAGGAGGGACCTCCCCGGAGCTGACCACACATGGCTCTCGGGGTGGGCCGGGCCTTTCCCACAACCGACGGGGCCTCCACCGTTGCCTCGGTTCTGGGC